GCAGTCAAGTGCCTTAGGCATTACACTACCAATCTTAGTCCATCATTTATTCTTACAACCCATGAGTTATTTTTTCAGTTGTTTATCCCACATTGACATAATAAAATAGAAATATTGTCTCTACTTTCCCTAATGTTGCCAATTCACTCATGTCTATTTGAGATCTTATTATCAGGCAAATTGCCTGTTAATTGGAAGATTTTAAAAAATATAAACCAGGAGTTCAAAATTTCTCCCAAAAATTTTAACTCAAAGTGTGTATTTTTCTCCTACAAGTGTTAGAACTAGAAAGGACACTAGAAGTCAGGGTCATATCATAATGTAAATCAAGGCACTTTAAAAATCACAGTTTATCAAACAAGACAGAAATTCATACTTTGAATGCACTTTAAGAATAAGCAAACAAGGTTCAAAGATGAAAAATGACTTGACCACGTTCTCACAGCAATTCATCTATTCCCATAACTTCCCCTGCCCCAGTCTCTTAACGTTGAACTAGAGCCCAGGGTGGCAAAATTAGTTATACCAAAAGATTTGAGCTCCACCCACCTAAAAGTGCCTCAGAAGAAAGACCTGGTGACCTGCTTCAGAAAGTTCATGTTCTTGAAAATCCTATAAAGTCACTGAGTCTTCACTCATGGGATGGTCAGGGGTCATCATCACGCTGATGGCAACCAACCACAACAATCTTGAAACAGGATTAATGCATTTGCTTTTGGCTCCTTCTACAGCTGTCAGATTAAAAAAAAAAAAAAAGAATACTGACTGACAGATCAAATAACATATGAAAAAATAAATCTTTGTGCATTGTTGATGGGAATGTAAAATGGTGTAGCTACTATGGAAAAACAGTGTGGCAGTTCCCCAAAGAGCTAAACGGGAAACTACCATACGACTCAGCAATTCCATTCCTACACAGGTCCTCAAAAAGAGTTGAAAGCAAGGGTTCAGACACACACTAGCATACCACTGTTCATGCCAGCCTTATTCACTCTAAGTGTCCATTCATATATGAGTGAATAAACAAAATGCATATGCTTATACTGAGATATAAAAAGAAATCTAGTTCTAATACATGCTACACATGGATGAACCTTGAGAACATTATGCTAAGTCAGGCAAGCCAGACACAAAATGAGAAATATTGTAGTATTTCTTATATGAAATATCTAAAATAGGAAAATTCATAGAGGCAGAATAGATTTGAAGACATGGGTGCTGGGGAGAATGAGGAGTGATTGCTTAATAGGTACAAAGTCTTTCTTTGGAATGATGAAAAATATTGGAAGAAGTGGTGAAGGTTGTACAACATTGGAAATGCAATCAATGCCAAGGAATTATGCACTTAACAATGGTTAATGTGACAAATTGTATGTACCATCGTGCTTGGCATATAGTTTTATTGTCAGTCTACTCTAAGACTTATGATTGATCTTGAAAGCATTTATCATCTTGGAGTAATTAATGCTTTATTGGGTTTAATCTAGTTTCTTAACATGCTTTTAGAACTTAGTAACTATCTTTTTTGTTTTGATTAAAAAAAAAAAAAATCACTGCTGTCAGTCTGTTCTGACTCATAGTGACCCCCATTGGATTTCCAAGGTGGTGAATCTTTACAGAAGTAGATTGCCCAGTCTTCCTTCTATGGAGTGGCTGGTGGGTTTGGACCACTAACCTGATGGTTAGCAGTCAAATGAAATAGGCAATGTGCCATCAGAGCTCCTTTTATACTGACTCATATGGATGCCATATAAGGACAGAACAGAGCATCCCCATAATGTTTCCAAGGCTGGAAATCTTTACTGAAACAATCTATCTCACCTTTCTTCCACTGAACTGCTGGCAGGTTTGAACTGCTGGCAGGTTTGAACTGCTGACCTTTTGTTTTAGCCGAACCCCTTAATGCCTCCACCACCAGAGTGCCTTCACTTCCTTAGGTTGCTTTTTAACTGTGTCAGAGAGTCTTCTCAATATTCTTGGTATAGCATCAACTCTCCTGAGCTGATATCATCAGCACTAAAGACTAAAACTAACTTTACCGGGGAAATCTTGCCAGGTCCAGAGAATACACCCAATAACCTGCTTTTATTTGCTACACATCTAATTATGACACCTAAGTGAGAGCTGGGAGACAAATATTTGAACTGCAAAGCTTTGTCCATGGCTTACTTGTACAACACAAAACCCTGTGCCTAAGCATTTAGAACTGTTGGAGAAAGTTGAAGATTGTGAGTTCATTATTACACTTCATGTGATGCTTGACTCTTCTCTAGTTTCCCATTGCGTAAGACTCTTCATTCTAATGGTACCAATCCCTGACCATGCCACGTCTTGTCTTTGTCCAGGTCACTTTGTCTGCATGGAATGCTTCCACTGTAATTTCAGTTCCCATCAATATTACCAATCATCAGATCAGTGTCCTTTCCGTTCTTATATGATTTTGGCAAATTTGTCAAATGTTTCATAAACATTCTTCTACCATAACCACTGGAGAATACACATGCTGTATTCAACATATGCTTTAAGTCAATTAATCCAGGGAATCCTAGCAACCTGGAAGAGTTCAAAAAGACTTAAAATAAATGTGATGCTTCCTCACACATCTCACAGTCATTTTGAGGGCAAGGTCCACAATGTATATTTATTAGTTTACAAATTACAGTAAAATGGGTACAAAACACATATTATTATAATAATGTTACAGGGTAAATTTTATGAGAGTAATTATTATGTAATTTTAAGTTAAATTGTGTACCTAGAAGGATTCCTGGGATGGAATGGATCAGCTACATCCTTGTTTATGGAATCCAAAGTAAAGTTCACAAATGAAAGTCTGAGAAACTGTCTTATCAGAAACTCTACACCAACTAGTTTATCTTCTTATTCAGGGAAGGGACTTATTTGATGGATGAAGAAAAGACATATCATATCATGCCATTTGTAGAAAACATGGACTTAGGAAACATATTAGGTAGTTCAGATTCAGTCTTAGTAATTTATTATGTACAGAACTTTAGCAAAATCTTTCTTTTGAGTGAGCCTAAATTTCATTGTCTATGAAATATGGGTAATAATGCTCTGTAAGGCCCTTTGATATTCAGAGTCTTACTAAAGAAGGTGGGACTTCAAAGTAGCTAGCAGCAAATCTTATCCTTAGTTAAACACCTCTCTACTCCACTATTAGCTCCCTTCCATCTTAAATTTGTAATGCTATTAGCATTCCAGAAAATCACATCAGTTCTATGATTTAAAAGTGGCATGTTGTTGCTGTTGTTATTATTAGCCCTCGAGTAGGACCTGACTCATAGCTTCCCCTCCGAGGGAGGGTCACTATGGAAGTGGATTGTCCAACTTTCTTTCTGAGGAGTGGCTGGTGGATTTGAACTGCCAGTGTTCTGGTTAGCAGTCAAGTGCCTTGGGCACTATGCTACCAGAGTTCCTTGAAAAAAAAAAAAAAAAGATATAATACTGCAAAGTTTGAAAGTTATTTTAAAAGGGGTTTGTATACTGGACACTCTTTGTAGAAAAAGGATTTTAGATTTTTCCTTCAGCCTTGTATTCAAACTCTTTTTAGTCCATAAATATGTAATCTTCATTTTCCCATTGCTTTTTCATAACTGTCTGGTGCTCGATTGTTCTTTTGCCATTTCAGATTTGTGGATGTTGAAAAGGCAGACAAGGAAAAATGAACAAAGAGAAATTTTCAACACGTTCCTCCCTCTCCATCTCTACTATCCGCATCTACTCAGCTAGATATAAGATTCCTGACATCTAATCTAAATGCAGTGCAACCCATAATATTTGCATTTGAACTCTCAGTGAGTCTGGGATACAATAGTGTGTTTTAGATACTTGCTATATTGCAAAAATGCATCAAAATTGAAACTATTTGGCCTAAATTTCTATAATATCTCCAAGAACTATATAAGCAAATACTTTTGTCACTCTACTCATGCAGATATTTAAAATATTTAAAGATTATTTATTTTAATATTATTTATAATTATTATTTAAATATTAAATATTTTAACTTTTTAACTACCTTGTTAAAAAACAATTTATTAATACCTTCTCCCCTTTTACTATCTTTTACTCTGAAATTACCTTTTCCTTTCTTTTGTATTTCTATCTTACATTCTTTCAAGGACAAGTTCCCTACATAACTCTTGCCAGAAAAATTTACTGATCAATCTAGATCTCTATTTTTCTTCCCTTACACTACCTTACTCCCATCAATATCTTCAAAATACATGCAATGCCTGGCATATTTTGCCATTTTCTCTGTAACACATAATGTTTATAAGATGAAAATTAGCTTAAAATTCAGTACAATGGTCCTGGGAGTGTTCAAAGTAAAATTCTGTGCCTTGAATAGATGTCATCAGTTGACCTAAGTTGAGAGTGCTCTAACTGAATTCACATCGACAATATTCCTCAGATGAGAAGGAAAGGATAACCCAAAACTGAATCAAGTCACTAAAAGGCTGATTTTCCTGCTCTATTTTTTATTTTATTTTTTAATTATTGAAGGCTTCCTTGATCTTATAAACAAACTGCATACTCAATATTTCTACTTTTGAAATTTCTCTAAAAACATTTTCTTTCTCTATAGGCAGTAGATATTTCTTTCAAAATTCAATTCAATAAAATAGCCAATTGATGACTTTTTATCTAATTGTAAAAATCTTTGGAACTAACATAGATACAATCTTGTGGAAGAGAGAGATCTGGAAAATAAACTCGAGGATCATGTGTTTTCTTCTGCACCTAACTGCTTGACTTTAGGGACACAAATGCCAGGGAATCATGAATAATCTTATTTTCATAAGCTACAAAGCAAATAATTAGAAGAACGTTCCTATTCTATTATTTAGGTTGCAATTTCTTCTAAATAATTGGAACGATTTTCATGTCTTCCAAAAAAATGGCTTCCCCGTGTTCAGAGGCTGTATTTCTGAAAATCCCCCAATGAAAACCACAGTCATATCTATTTCAATAACCTGGATATAATAATAGTTTTACAGTAATTGTTCAGTCTTTTCTCAATCCATTCATATTTTTGTACCTGTTTACAAATACAATATACAAATACATGTAACATTGTAACAGACAGTGTTTCTCTGTTATTCATAAAGTTTCCCCAGGACAATTCTTTGAGAAGTAGATGGCCTCTTCCTTCTATCTCGTCTGTCTCAGTCTGCAAGACACACTGAAACTTGTGCACCATTTGCAACCCCGCTGGCATTTGAAACACCAGTGGTACAGCCTCAAGCCTCCCAGCAAGCAACACGCCACCACGGTACAACAAACAAGTCTGTCTCCCTTAGCTGTCCGAAAACTCTCCACCCTTCCCTTACCTGGATACTTGTTGCTGCTCACGTTGTTGTCATGGTCCCCTTGGCTTTTCTTTCCTTTCCCCAACTTTCCTGTCACATGGGGGTTGGGCGTGGGTCCCTCCTGAACCTAGACCCCTGCCTCTGCTCTCTCTGTCAATGTCCCCCTGGCTTTTTCTTTCCTTTCCTCCATTTGAAGTTCTCAAAGACTTCACATTGCTTGGTTCTACAATTGATGCCAATGGAAGCAGAAGTCAGGACATCACACAACATATGTTGTTGTTGTTATGTGCTGTAGAGTCAGATCCAACTCATAGCGACCCCTCCTTGGGTTTTAGAGACAGTATCACTATGGAAGTAGATTGCTCCATCTTCCTTCCGAAGAGTGGCTGGTGGGTTTGAACTGTCAGCCTTCTGGTTAGCAGTCACGTGCCTTAGGCAAGTTGACTGCAAAGAACCTCTTTCAAGTGCTGAATAGCATAGATGTCTCCTTTAGGACTAAAGTGCACCTGACACAAGCCATGATATTTTCAATTACCTTATATGCATGTGAGAGCTGGACAATGAGTAAGGAAGACCAAAGAAAAATTGATGCTTTTGAGTTGTGGTGCTGGCGAAGAATGCTGCAAGTACCATGGACTGCTGAAAGAACTAACAAAACTTTCCTGGAGGAAATGCAGCCAGAATGCTCCATGGAAGCAAGAATCGCCAGACTTTGTCTGACCTGCTTCGGTCATGCTGTAAGAAGGGACCATTCCCTGGAGAAGGATGTCATACTTTGTAAGGTGGAGGGTCAACAAAAGAGATGTATTGACACAGTGGCTATGGCAATGGGCTCAAGTATAGCAAGGATTGTAGTGCTGGCATGGGCTGGGTGGTGTTTTATTCTGTTGTGCAAGGGTCACTGTGAGTCAGAGACAACCCCACAGAACCTAACAATAAAAACATGTACCATTGCACTATAAATAGTTTCACATTCTATTTAGTAGTATTATATCTCAAATATACCTTCATCTGGGGACTGGGGCAGTGGATGTAGTTAGTATCCTGATTATGGCTTTAGATCTACCTGTATTTTTCAGTACAGTCATAAAGATCACATATATGACAGTTTAACACAATCTACATGATTTCTGCATGTTTACACCTAATGGACAAAAATCAGAGAAGAAAAAAGTCTTAAATATTGACCCACACAATATCACTACATTGGTTCCTTGACCAGAAAATTTTAAGATATGGTTATATGCAGTGGCATTTATTAGCACTACGCTCTAACCAGCTGGGCTAACCGTCCACATTGCAGTGACATTTAAAAACAAATACCATTAAAAGGAATTAGAGATTGTAGTGCACTGAATATTGGTAGATGTAGCAAAATCAGTGGACAAAATGTAACTGCTAATTTAAGTTCGTGTTTAGAAGAGTGATTGTGATCTGCCACTCAGTAAGACCTGAGGCATGATGACCTTTGTACAACTGCACAGAATGTTCCGCCAACCCCATGATCAATTGCAGCTCAGACAGTGTTCTACTGTTATCCATAGGGTTTTCATTGTCTAGATTCCAGAAGTAGATTTCCAAAGCTTTCTTCCTGGTCCAATTTCTGGGAGCTCTACTGAAACTTGGTCAGCATCATAAAAACATACATGCCACAACTGTCAAACAGGTAGTAGCTGTGCAGGTTTAAGCTATTTTTAATAGGCAATGGCTAAAAAAATAATTGCTTACACCTTTTAAAGAAGCAAGCTGGGTGAGTTTCTATGAATGACTCACATTAGTGCTTAAGCTAATGTTTTTAGTGGAACAAGATAAGAAGTAAATTATTCACAATAAGTTTTAAAATCTAAGGAATAGACCAGTTTAAAATGGACTGCTGAAAGCCAAAACTCTTTTTTACTCCCATTTTTCAGATTTATAAGTTTGGTTCATAAGCCAAAATGTAAAGGAAAAATCTAGCACAAGTTCATATGGGTCCAATAACATTTGTGTGACAAGTTCTACTTTTGAAATTATAGATGATGTATATTACTTCAGTGCCACTTGAAATTCAGTCTTCCAAATTTTATTCAGCATCACAAATAGGTTTTGGTCAAGAAAGGGAATAACCCAATTCATCTTCCATTATTTGGTTTCCTCATAATTTTAAATTGTTCATTTCTGAAGATGTGAACAGGAATTTAGATCACAAAGC